GGTGAGATTTCACCACTTCACCTAAATTTATTTTTGTGCTATGTTTTCATACGTGTGGGAGTGGTGATATCATTAATTTTTAAGTTTATTTTTAAGTTTACTGAAATTTTTTATTTGGATGTAAATGACGAAAACTATTGAGATAACAAACTACAACGGTCATGAGTTCAAGAATTTGTTCTTCGTTCCTCGTGAAAATACATTCTATCAGATACGAGGGAGAAAGGGTAAAGTTAGTTTGAGCGTTTATGAAGGAATGAAGAATGGAAAGTTTATACAAGCATACGATACAAACGGTAAACGTGTTTCATTAGCTTTGTCAAAACTTACTAACATTTATTTTGACAGTGACTTTGACCTATATGAAGAAGAAAGTGAGTCAGAAGATTATGAGCTGTTATATGAAGCACAGCAATGGGAGGAGTTGCAATACTTTTGTAAGTGAGAACGTTTATTTTTACATTAGTGAGGTGAAGTGGTTGGCGGCTTTGTAAATATTTAAGGTTAAGTTAGTGTTGTCGTTTGTGTTGTAAAATATACGTTAACGGTTTTGTAAAGTGTCAAATTCACAAGTATTGCGTACGGTGGAACGCAGTGCCACAGTACACGAGACTTGTATACTAACTTGGTATTATTTGCAAAGAATGTTAAATCAGAAAGTCGAACTTCCTTTAGCAAATATTTACAGTCGATATGCAAGAGATGAACCATATTTATTTAAAGATGTTTTCGACCCAGCTGCTATTATTGTTCATGCTTCATTTTCTGGCGCCCAAAACTCTTTCTTATGCTTGGCAAATGACTTTTACGAAAAACCTACAAAGTTATACGAACCACCAAGTGGAAGTATTTCAGACTTTCAAGTATGGTTTACTACAGATGGAAGAAAAAGAATAATTCCATTATACCATGCGTTTTACTTAGAACTTAGTTTCATATACAACTACTATCGAACGGTAAAAATATAATTTTTAATACGGTTGAGGTGTTGGATTTGGTTGCCAACTAGACTGTGGTGCAGGTTCAGGCTGTTGTATAACAGGAGCTTGTTCTTCTGGTTCAGGGTCTTTAGGTATAATACCAACGAACTGACCTACTCTTTTACCAATATTTTTGACTCCGTTCCAAATTCCTCTTCCGACAGATTTTATTCCATTCCATATACCTCTTCCAACATTTCGAAAGAAGTTTCCAATACTACTGAAGAAACCCATTTACTATATGTAAAAATCTAATGTCCACCTAGTCTCTTACGTTTCCTTCTGAGTTCCATAGCATTTTTTAACTGGAGCTCATACATTCTGTTTCTCCTCTGGTAGAAAACATATTCTGGGTCAACTCCTGTGTTCGCGTCATCTGCATAGAGTTGTTTATATCCCACTTCAGGGTTTGTATAAAACTCTTTCCATCTCATATTTGCATACCATGGTGGCAAACCTAACGCAGCGTCATTTGACATGGCAGTTTGCATTTGTACATCTGTTGGCACTTGACCATAGTTTGCCATTGCAGTTTGTATTCTAACTTCATTTGGAATATTCTCTGGGTTTGGTTGTCCAGGTTGCTGTGCATTCGCTAAGTTCTGTGCGTCCATTTAATATTAGATAAAAATATCTCTTACGAGTACATATGCTGAACATTTGCTGGTATTGGTTCATCTTCATATTCTCTATATCTTTCTGCCACGTCAAATAAGTAAATGACACAATGGAAAAAACCTAAAACAAGTAGTCCTATTTCAAACCACATTTACTTACTAATAAAATTTCTTTGTTATGACACTTTCTCCCGTTTATAGGACCTCTCTCATATTCTATCTTATCGTATCTAAACTCATAGTCATGTATGTCCTCTAACCATCTCATGACACTTTCCAAACCACTTTTATCGGATGTAAAGTAAAAGCATGGATGGTTATGTACAACGTCTAAAGTTTCTAAAGAGTCTCTCAAAGTCCAGTCTACTTGGTATTGAAAATCATATGTGTTAAAGAACGGCGGGTCTACTATAAAGAAAACATTTTCCTTGTTTTTATATTTTTCATACAACTCTGTCCAACGACATCTCACAAACTCTATACCCTCAATATATTTTTCTATGTTCTCTTTGAAAACCTTTGTATAGTTAAGATATAAAACTTTTGACATAAGTGTTTCAATGTCATGAACTCTTATAGAACCACTATACAATAGTCTAGAAGATATACTATCCCAGTCAATATACTCTGCTTTTTTCAAAACCTCTCTGACAGTATTTTTCTTATCTAATGGTATACGTTCCATCTTACCTATAGGTATCTTTTCTTTTAACTCTTTCAATATATTGTTTGTGTCTGGAATATGTTTGAGACGGTCCATATAGTTGTCGAAGTCATTGCATATAATCTTTGAGTCTGGGAATACGGTATGGCACAAATGGGATATATAGAAACTTCCACCGAACAAATCTACAAATGTTAGACCATTCGGTAGTTTCTTAAGTTCTCTCAATAGAATATCTTTACATCTACTCTTATTTCCAAAGAACGGTAACGGTGGTTTTGTAAAATTCATTTATATATAATAATAAAAATGTTTTTACCCGAAAAGTGACAGAAAAGTGACAAAGCATGAAAACATATATAATTTGTGAAAAGTGAAACATTATATAATGTTTTCGACCCAGAAGAAGGCTTCTTCCCAGAAGCAATGGAGGAAGAAGAAGAGTCCTCCGAATAAAAACTTCATTTATACTAAACATCAACATCAGGGCTAGAAGGCACGAAGTGCCTGGAAGCCCCACTACCTTTTTTTTTTTTTTTTTTTTTTTTTTTTTTTTTTTTTTAATATTCATAGCTTATACATTCTAAAAATGATAAACTATTATAATTGTACGTAGAATACTCGAAAAAATAATTACCCTATATTTCCAACTCTTGGAAAATTTTCATGACCCCCTACCCAGGGTCCTAAAATGGGTATTTTCCTCACACAGACACCGTGGTTTTTTGAGCCGGGAAATAAATAGCGCAGACAGTTTCTACATATAGAGACATGCTTATACTTAGAGTTTGACGGGAATCTAAAGTGATTTTTTTCTGCATCGCGAAATCTAATGCAATCTCAAAATCATGAAGAAACTGCGAATCGGAGCGCAATTTTTTAATATGTTAATATATAAAGGTACCCCTACTACTGCAAATGCTTCAAATGAAAATCTAAGAAATCAGATTAATTTGATCACATTAGTATAGTATTGGTCAAACCAAAAACTCATATGTTGATATATAGCCTATGGATATTCATATTATCTACTTTTCATTGAATTACATAAGATTTAATAATCTCATAAATATTCTTTTTAATTTTCCGAATTCCGTGTGCATTTAGATTGCCCATACCTGTATATAATAATTCTAGAATGGTTTGGTTAGATATTAAGTTTTTTAGATTAATATTTTAACATTTTGATAAAACAAGCATTTGTTCCATTTTAGAATCGCCATTGAACTCTAGTTTGACTAACATGATGTTGTATGATCAAATAAATTCTAACTTCATGAGATAAATTTTGAAATTAGAAAATGCGATATCTGACTCAAATATTTATCTGAACACATTTAACATTCAATGATAAACTAAAGTACTATACAGCAGATTCGATTTGGCTTATATTTTATATAATCAACAAATAATCCTATAAAATTGTGCTATTCACGTTGCTCAAAGATGTATTGAACATTCCCTACTTGTGTATTGATAAAATTAGATATAGATTCTAATGTAAATCGATATTTTGAAAATTCATATATATTTTGTCTTGGTTTGGCATTTGATCGTGTTGAAACCGGAATTGCAATATATATCATCTAAATATATAACTATCAAAATATGAGCTATAGATTTTTAAATTATTCTCCTGAATATGAGTGACTAACATAATTATATTGAATTGAGTAGTAAGAATCATAAATATTAGAATCTGACGATAATTTATTATAACTTTATATAGGAACAAGATTATAAATGATGATGAAAATAAAGATTAAATTTAAATCTGAAAATTTGAAAACATTAAGTGTATATGATAGCATTACAAAATTAAATTTTATGTGGAAGAGGAAATAGAGGAATTAGAAGTATTATGAGAAAATAATAAGATATAAAAACAAGATTCTATTAAATGAGTTAATTTATAGAAAGGAATAACAGTGTGAATGTAGTAAATGAATGTTTTCATGATGTATTATTGAAATCTTAAGTTTTGTTAAGAAGATAATAAGGGAATCAAATTTTGTATTAGGAAGTTTGACCGACAAGAGTGTATTGTGCACTCTTGTCGGTCTGCATGTCTCATTCCGGGAGACATTGTCACTGCATGTCTCCCAGAATGAGACAATCTTCCGCATTCATAACTTGAATGCGGAAGTTTGACCGACAAGAGTGTATTGTGCACTCTTGTCGATCTAAATGTATCTTACAATCAAAGACACTTTCATACAATCTTTTCGAAGTTAAAAAAAAATTTAATTATTTCTTTCTTATTTAGTTATGAACCTGAAGAGAAATTTTAAGGAAAATATTAAGTTGTGCAATTTGCATCTATCTCTTTATGTGATGCATATTTTCACGATCTGACAGCAGAAATCGAATCAGCGGAGCCAGAAGAATCAGATTACGTGTGGAAAATAGGTTTTGAACGCTTAGATAGGACTAAAATGAGACTTTATGAGATGTGTTGTATAATTATAGTTTTTGCGATAATGTGTCATGAGATCAGAATATGAAGAGAGTAAATATGTATTATTGTCACAGGTTTATATGTGGGGATAGCTCGATAGAGTCTCTAAAAGAGATTAGTACGTGAGTAAGGCGATTTAATAAACAAAAGAAAGAAATAATTAAATTTTTTTTTAACTTCGAAAAGATTGTATGAAAGTGTCTTTGATTGTAAGATACATTTAGATCGACAAGAGTGCACAATACACTCTTGTCGGTCAAACTTCCGCATTCAAGTTATGAATGCGGAAGATTGTCTCATTCTGGGAGACATGCAGTGACAATGTCTCCCGGAATGAGACATGCAGACCGACAAGAGTGTATTGTGCACTCTTGTCGGTCGAAGTTTTGAAATCACATTCTGATTGCAAAAGATTGTCTCATTCTGGGAGACATGCAGTGACAATGTCTCCCAGAATGAGACATGCAGACCGACAAGAGTGCACAATACACTCTTGTCGGTCGAAGTTTTGCAATCGCGTTGTGATTGCAAAAGATTGTGCTATTCCTGCATATTTCCTACGAGCCTGCTTCATAAAATTGAATCCTTCTATCCAATTTAAATGCGATTTCGCTAATCTTTCATCTAAAATCACTAATCAGAAGCATATTGCAAGTTAACTTGAACCGGCATGTTCCTCCTATCCTGTCTTTCAGTTCTTTCTATCAGCCATGGTTCACAAGGAGGAGAGCTTTGCGCACAATCAGACATAAGATTGCGGCAGAGGAACCGGGCAGAGAGCAGCTTGAAGCGGTAAGATGTCCGAATGCTGTCTCCCAGGTGTATCTGTCAGGCAAAGTTCACAAGGAGGAGAGCTTTGCGCACAATCAGACATAAGATTGCGGCAGAGGAACCGGGCAGAGAGCAGCTTGAAGCGGTAAGCTGTTTTCAAGTCTTTAGTTAACAAACTTTAACAAAAGACATCTAAAAAATTTGAAATAATTGCAAAATAATGCCGTCAGGTAATGCGCACCTAAGGGAGGTGTTTTGCGGGAGCTGGGGGTATCTTGGTGAGTACTCAGGAGGCCAAGAAGGGCACCCCAACCGACATTTTGCTGACGCATTGTGTAAGCAACCATTCTGATAACCGCTCAAACCGTCGGGACAAAATAATTTATGAAATTATAAGTCATCTTTCTAATACATATTTTTGGAAGGGCGTGAGATACGCCAACTTAAATATATTATTAAATATGAGAAAATCACTCAACAAAAAAACAATTCTTTCAAAAAGTTTAAAATTTATCTTTCTAATACATACTTTTGGAAGGGCGTAAGATACGCCAACTTAAATATATTATTAAATATGAGAAAATCGCTCAACAAAAAAACAATTCTTTCAAAAAGTTTAAAATTTATCTTTCTAATACATACTTTTGGAAGGGCGTGAGATACGCCAACTTAAATATATTATTAAATATGAGAAAATCACTCAACAAAAAAACAATTCTTTCAAAAAGTTTAAAATTTATCTTTCTAATACATACTTTTGGAAGGGCGTGAGATACGCCAACTTAAATATATTATTAAATATGAGAAAATCGCTCAACAAAAAAACAATTCTTTCAAAAAGTTTAAAATTTATCTTTCTAATACATATTTTTGGAAGGGCGTAAGATACGCCAACTTAAATATATTATTAAATATGAGAAAATCGCTCAACAAAAAAACAATTCTTTCAAAAAGTTTAAAATTTATCTTTCTAATACATACTTTTGGAAGGGCGTAAGATACGCCAACTTAAATATATTATTAAATATGAGAAAATCGCTCAACAAAAAAACAATTCTTTCAAAAAGTTTAAAATTTATCTTTCTAATACATACTTTTGGAAGGGCGTAAGATACGCCAACTTAAATATATTATTAAATATGAGAAAATCACTCAACAAAAAAACAATTCTTTCAAAAAGTTTAAAATTTATCTTTCTAATACATACTTTTGGAAGGGCGTGAGATACGCCAACTTAAATATATTATTAAATATGAGAAAATCACTCAACAAAAAAACAATTCTTTCAAAAAGTTTAAAATTTATCTTTCTAATACATACTTTTGGAAGGGCGTGAGATACGCCAACTTAAATATATTATTAAATATGAGAAAATCGCTCAACAAAAAAACAATTCTTTCAAAAAGTTTGACATTGATCTTTCTAATACATATCCTATGGAAGGAGTTTACATTCACAAAATAAAAACCAGTTCAAAATCTTATTACTCCTTGAATTAAAATCATTTAATTTCAAATCCATTCCAAATCCTTAAATCTGTATTAAAATCATTTTGCCAACAACCAACACAATACAAATTACATTTCCATATATCTTCTTGTCCATTTTAATTTTTTATCTCATTTTATTTAATTTTATTTAAAAGCATATAGACATCGAGATCCTTTACACATAGTTATATAAAAGTCAAATACATAATAAATTCTTAATTCTAGAGATATCTCAAAATCTCATTTTTTAATTTAAAATACCTTTCATTTTTCACAGTACTATCACAACAAACAAGCCATTTACTAATTAACACATATAAGAAAAATATCAAATTACAAAACAACTTTCAATATCATTCGCATCGAATTCTATTTTTTCATAATTATCAACTACATGTTATTATATAATATATGTCGGCGCATATTCCACTCTATACAAGTGTCAGACACACTCACACAAAGCTGTGAGATTCATACCTCTATCAGTAGGACTTCTCAAATCAAGAACACATATGTTTCACTATCGCACATCTGTGTAGGATCTAATTAACCCTTTGGACTGGTACTTCAAAATTTGATAATTTGATAATTTCATGTGATATCATCATTTGCCTTTAAAACAACTGTGCGTTAAACTAGACACGTTTCTCTATCATAATGCAAAATATCAAAGTTTGGGAGACTCCCAAAGTGTCTGAAACTGATCATAAGGGTGAAAAACCGTTTTCCAGAAGTTGGGAACGTAGGGTATTGAAGAAAATTTAGATGTCTAGTAGAGCTTCGAATCGTTTTTATAAATCAGCACAAATCCAGACAACTATTTATTAATGAGAAAAGCAAAATTAAACATATCAAAGAATGAATCTTTTTTTTCCCTCTTTTTTTTTCAATGAATTGAACCAAACCTAATTATCTGAAGTAGCCAGAAAGTAATTAAAGTCTTTTCGTACTTTCAGTGAATAATTCGATTATCGAAATGCCAACTAAGATTTTATTTTATCACAATTTAAAATCTTATCGTAGTTTTTCCCAACGAATTGTCGATTTCATATTAAATAAAATTAGTAATTTTCTTGAAGTCAAAGTAGTATATATGGACGGGTTGTGTGACTTTTTTTGTAAACGTAAGAATTCATACAATATCGAACGATTTTGTATCATTATTTTTAACATTAATTTTAAAATATATTTATTTTTTTATTCTTACATAAATGACCCAACAAGTAAAACCAGATAAAATAGATTATCGAATTTTAGAGGATGGTGTTCCTGTTTATATTCAAAGATTTAAAGGGAAGCAATATTATAGAATTGTTAATCCTGAATACATAAAACATTTATTTAAAAAGGAAGACTGTGAATTATTAAACGCTAATGAATATGAAAGCCAAAATAAGCTAATGAGATATAAATATATTGGAAGTGATGAAAGGTGTAAAGATAAAGATAAAGTTTATACAGTTTCATATTATGAATGGAAAACCGATAAGATTAGAAAACATTTAGGAGATTATGGGGAAAAATCTGAATTCTTTAAATCTAGTATATACGAGAGAGTAAAAGAAATTAGAAATAATTATTTTCATGAATAAAACATAAACGCATTAAAAAAAATTAACATTAATTTTAAAATAATTTATTTTTCCATCTTTTATAAAAGAAGCTATATATAGATGATGTCAGATATTCCACGATTAATTAAACATTGTTGAATAACTGAATGGAATCAATGGAGTCATAATCAAAAACCTCATAAACGAGTAAAAAAATTAGAAATTAATGATTATTTGAATTTATGAAATCAATAATTTGATTTATTCGCTCTTCAATAATTTCTATTCTTTTTGTTAAATCATCTATTTTCATTAATGAGGTGATTCTTGATTGAGGAATAGATTTCAAACTAACCACTCCTTTTATTTTTGAAATTTTGAATCCATCAACTTTAAACATTTTATTCAATTTACATGTTGTCAATTCTTCAAATAATTTTTTATTGTTAGCATAATAGTCATTAAATTCTTCAACAGATGAAAAAATTTTTATTTCAGTAATTGGTTTAACAACGTTTATTTTTTGTTGAACATTTTCACTTTCATTTATTTCTTCCTCCTTTGTTTCATTTATTTTTAAAATCGGTTTCATTTATCATTAAATAAAAATTAGAATATAAGTGATGAAATGAATTTTTAATTTTAATGAAATAATCAGAAATGGCGGCAGGATTCTTTAAAAAATTATGGGATGGAATTAAGAAAGCTGCGGGTTGGGTTCATCAAAAGATTATTAAACCCATTGCAAACTTTTTGGCACCAGTAGCGAAAACGGCAGGAACTATCATAGGTGGAGTATTAGGTGCTAAAGCAGGTAATCCGGCGATGGGAGCACAAGCAGGTAACGCAGTTGGTGGAATTGCTGAAGGAATACTTAATAAAATAGGAGGTAGATAGTGGAAAAATAAATAAATATTATTTTTATCTTAGTATCGGTTGTAGTCTTTGATAAACTTTTTCTCCTTTATTTAAAATTTCTCTTATTGGGGCAGCTTTTGGTGTTATTGATTCAGCAACGTCACTAATTGCTTCTTTATTCTTAAATATCCAATTTGCTCCCTTCTTCAATGTTTCCCAAACTTTACTCGCTCCTCTTTTTACTTTATCCCATAATTTTTTAAAGAATCCTGCCGCCATTTCTGATTATTTCATTAAAATTAAAAATTCATTTCCATCTTTTAATTTTGATTTTTTTATTTAATAAATGACGACTAACTATTTGGTGCCAAACACCAAACCAATTAATGGAAATGTGTTTCATTCATTCGAAAAGATAAATGAAATATTTGCAAAGAATGACGGTAGAAGATATTATAGAGAACTTGAAAGTTCATGCTATGACTCTGATACTCCATATTTTGATGATAAACAAACTCATTTAAGAATTACAAATCCATGATGTGAACCAATTAGGTGACACATATATTAAACGCAAAGTTAAAGCAACTCTAGTTTCAAATAAAGCTTTCATATGTGATGCCGCTTTTAAATGCATGCGTTTATTCGTTGGTTACAAATCATCAAATCAAAGCTTTAAACAATTAGAAGTAGAAACCGAAAGAGGTGATGCTGGTTATCTTCAGATGGATTGCGCCCGTGAATCTTTCGCATTTGCAACATATAAACCGAAATCAGAAAGGAAAGTTAAAAAGTTTGTTCATTCGTTATATAATAATGTTCAAAAATATGATAACTCAGTATGTGGTAAATATATTGACCCTTCAGAAGTTTTCAAGAGAGCAAATGAAGAAGTTGATATCACTTTTGATATGATTATTCCGGTAAAT